TGAGTAGAACCACAGAAGGCTTTTTCTTCACATAACTTGTCAAATAAACAAACAAAAACTGTTTAAGCATTCTTCTGCTAGCTGTTCAATGCTCAAAACTGGTTTTTATTAACAATGACAACAAATAGGCTATTATATGAACAGAAACAGCCTGGAAGGAAATGTATGTCATAGAAGGTTACACATAATAGAAACACCCTTGAAGGAAGCACCTGTCTGTTGCTTCTGAAAAGTTTATGGTTGCCTTCACAACCATTGAGGCTCTCTCCAGTGTGCCCTTCTCAAACCATGGGGCTAGCCCAGTTTCAAGCAAAAACTCACTCAACACTGGGTCCTACCCCTATGGATATTTACTTGGGGATAAGGAAGTTCCTGCATTAACCACAGGCCCCGGCCGGGGAATGGCCCTCCTGAAGTCTTATGGCCTGTAGCTGGACAAGGTTAGTAGGGGTGGGGATAAGGACAATCTACAAGCCAACAGCCCAGACAGCTATTCTGGAAATACTACACAATGAAGAAATCTTGAACTACATATGTGTGCCAAATACCTGTTCTGTGCCATCCCAACACTCTTGACTGAGCTCCATCTCTTGGCCATTCTGGGTTTATAGTTATGGGGCAATATAGTCACAGGGGTTGGAAGCAGCCTGTTGTATCTGAAGATTGTATGGCCACCATGCCCAGAATTTTCCCAGGACACGTGAGAGTTCTCATCCGTCCCCCCCAAAAAAGCACTCACAGTTCAAAAGACCTGGGCGTTCTTGGGTAGGGAGGCCCTATGCAGACAAGGACTATTGAGGGGCAGACAAGGACTGTGGAGAGCACAGACACATAAATGCACAAAGAAAAAAACAAAAGCATCTCTTCTTACATTTGCAAAGACAAACGTATTCATGTGGAGAATAGGTGGAAGAGAAGCGAAATGGCAATCAGCAGCCTGTCCCCAGCAGTACCTAAGAAATTAGGTAACATCCATTCCAGAGAGAGCAGAGCTGGTGGTGTTCCGGCAGGGCAGCCACCTTCAGCTGCCTTCACTGGGCCAGGGCCAAGTTCATGGACTGCAAACGCAGGACTCCTGACGTACGCTGTGCTCTACCATATCACACTCAGCCAGGAATGCCTGAATCTTTTCACCAAACCCTTTCTTAGGCCAAAAAAACAAAGATAATGCTGCATTCCATGTGAGTGAGCCATTATGGATGAACCATCCTCTACCTCTAGTAGAGCCTTCAGATGACTGAAACCCTAGCTGACATTTTGACAACAATCTTATGAGAGACCTTACGTTAGAACCACTCAGCTAAGAGGCTCCCAAATTCCTGACGCACAGAAACTACAAGATAATAAATGATTGCTGACCTAAGCAGCTGTGTTAAATTATTATTAGTAGTATTATTTTAAATTATTATTTTTTTGCAATAAACAAGAGACCTAATTTTTTTCATGTCTACCTTCAAACATAAAGAGATCTTGTTTGGAAAAAACACCAGGCTTCTTCTGGTTCCTATTTCATGCCCCTTTCTCTCTCACTAGCAAACTTTTCCAAAATGGTTAACTCCATTTGATTTATGCCTTTCCTCCCCCCAGCTTTATTGAGGTATAATTGACAAATAAAATTCTAAAATATTTAAAGTATACATTGTGATGATTTGATGTATGTATACACTGTGATAGGATTCTCCCATCTAGTTAATCCACTATCTCCCTTTTATTTATTTATATTTATTTACTAGAGGCCCGGTGCATGAAATTCGTGCATGGGTAGGGTCCCTAGGCCTGGCTGGCGATCGGGGCCTTCTGGCTGCCAGCCAGGGCCTCCCTTTGTTCCTTGCCGCCCCCTGGTGGTCAGCACATGTCATAATGAGTGATCGGACTCCCCGTCTCCCAGTTGAACTCCCGTGGGCACACTTTGTGTATTAGCCTTTTATATATATAGATTTATGTGAGAATATTTAAGTCTACTCTCTTAGCAAATTTCAGTTATACAACACAGAATTATCAACAATAGTCACTGTGCTGTTCATTTAGATCAGCCGTGGGCAAACTACGGCCCGTGGGCCGGATCCGGCCCTTTTGAAATGAATAAAACTAAAAAAAAAAAAAAAGAAAAAAGACTGTACACTTTTATGTAATGATGTTTACTTTGAATTTATATTAGTTCACACAAACACTCCATCCATGCTTTTGTTCCGGCCCTCCGGTCCAGTTTAAGAACCCATTGTGGCCCTCGAATCAAAACGTTTGCCCACCCCTGATTTAGATCCTTTGAAGTTATTCAAATTATACTTGAAAGTTTGTACCCTGTTAACAACCTCTCCCTATTTCCCCCACCCATAGCCCCTAGCAACCACCTTTCTACTCTTTGTTTCTATTTTTTTAGATTCCACATATAAGTGAGATTATACAGTTTTTGCCTTTTTCTGTCTGGCTTATTTCACTTAGCAAAATGCCTCAAATTCCATCCATGTTGTCACAAATGGCAGGATTTTCTTCTTTCTCATGGCCAAATAATATTCCATTGTAATATATAAATTTCATTGTAATATTCCATATATGATATATAACCATATCTTCTTTATACATTTATTCATTGATGACTACTTAGATTGTTTCCATATATTGGCTATTGTAAATAGTGCTGCAATGGACATGGGAGTGAAGATATGTATTCAATATCCTGTTTTCATTTCCTTTGGCTATGTAACCAGAAGTGAGTTTGCTTGATAATATGGTAGTTCTTTTTTCCTCCGTTTTTTGAAGAATTTCCATTCTGTTTTCTATAGTGGCCATGCCAATTTACATTCCCACCAACAGTGCAAAGGGTTCCCTTTTCTGCACATGCTTACCAACACTTGTTATTTTCTGTTTGTTTGTTTGTTTGTTTGTTTATAGAGACCATCCTCATAGATGAGGCAATATCTCATTTGGTTTTGATTTGCATTTCCCTGGTGATTAGTGATGTTAATAATCTTTTCATGTTTGTTGACCATCAGTATATCTTCTTTAGAGATATGCATGTGAGAGACACATCAATTGATTGCCTCCTACACTTGCCCCAACCAGGGCTGGGGAATGAACCTGCAACCCAGGTACATGCCCTTGACCAGGAATCGAACCTGTGACCCTTTGGTGTGAGCTAATGCTCTAATCACTGAGCAACACCGGGCAGGGCTACACTGGCCAGGGTTATATAGACCCTTTTTATACGGGCTTTTATACACACTTTTATCTTCTTCTTCTCAGTTCCCACTGTCTTCTTCCGAGGAACCAGAGCTTCATTTCCTGAGCCTTTCTGAAGCAGTCACCTGACTTCTTGTTTGCTTCCCTTGGCTCCCACCACACAATACTTTCTTGGTTTTCTACCTACTTTTCCACCACTAACCCTTCTTTTTCCTCTTACTCATTTACTATAGCTATTTCCCAGAATTCAATTTCTAGTGTGTTTCATTTCTGTTTTCCCCCTAGTCCTTTGGGGAGTTATTTGTATTTTATAGTTTCAAGTTCATCTTCTCATATACTTGCTCTCAAATCTGTATTTCGATGCCCATGTCTCTACCAGTAGGTCTTTAATCCATTTTGAGTTAATTTTGAAACCTTATATGTTTGATAACCTCAAACTGTATATGTCCTCAACTCATCATCTCCTCTCCAAAAGATCATCAATATTAGCCTTTATCCCAGTCACTCTCTCTCATAAATTTCAGTTCAAACTTACTCCTCTTTTTTCAATTTCTTTATCTAATTGTAGTTGAGTTCCCTTGCTTCTTTTTTCAAAAGATTTTTCTTTGTGTTTCTAGTCCTGTCATCCTTGTACAGGCCCTTGTAATCTTGGCCCTAAAAACTTGTTTCCCTTTCTCTATTTTCTCTTCATCTACCATCCTATGTCCCTCTATTAGACTAATTTGTTAATCAATATATCATTGTCACGCTACTACTTTCATGATGAAAACCTCCTCTAATTGCATTTAGGCCTAACTTCATATTTCTAGACCTAGCAGTCAATGTCTTTATTTGATCCCAATACTAGCTGTATTCCTTGTTAGTTTCCAATAGGAAACTTAGCCTCCTGTGGAAGATTTCATGCTGATTTCCATTTCCTTCAGTTAGAAAATTCTTCTATTCCTGTTCTAATGGGAATGCTTCCCTCCATTCAATTTCTATTATCTGCAGGAAGACACTGGCGATGAGGGACCCAGGCTTGGAATTCTGGGGCACTCCAACTCTTGAGAAGAGAAGCTGGTGATGGGGAAGACCCAACTACCAGGGGGCCATGGAAGCCAGAGGCGGCGCGTGTTCGTGAAAAGCACAAGGCCCACAATCAAAGGGCTCTAAAAACCTCACGGAGGATAAGGAGCGGATTGGGTTTGGTAATCAGGAAAGCTCAAGCGTGACATTGGTGAAAACCGATTCTGCTCGTGCTGAAAGCAGAAGCCAAGTTTTAATGAGCACACACGTTCCTGAGGATGAAGGACTGAGCAGTGTGAGCAGACTGCCTCCGACACGGATTGTCAACGCAAGGGAGGGAGCCCATGGTGAAGGCGAGGCTCGGAATTCGGAGCTCCAAGGAGGAGCAGAATGCGAGGGCAGCATCGGATAGAGGAGGCGCCTTTTGCAGTAGGAACTGAGTAGGGGTGAATGCGTGCACGTGCGGAGGATGAGACATTCGTATATTTGAGAAGAGAATGGAGTCTGTAAGAATAACAAGATCAGCTGCAGCCCATTACAAATTCCTGCGAGCGCTTTATGAGCTCATTTACTACCCCCATTTTACAGATGGGGTACGCCGTGGTCAGCATCTGGACCCGGATCAGCCTGCAGAGACCGATTCCGGCCCCTGGCGGCGGGCAGCCGGGCTGCGGGGTGGCGGTCAGCGGTGAGTCACCGGACCCCGCCCGGGGCTGGCCGCGGGGACAGGGCTGGAACTACACTTCCCAGTGTGCCAGGCGGGGCGGGGCGCGGGCGGGGAGGGCCCCGGCTCCTTCCCAGAAGCAAAAGCGGAAACAAAAGAGTCTCGCCGGCGTCCCCGCCCGCACACTCGCGCACACTCGCGCTCGGGCGCACACGGAACTGGCACGGGCGCCCGGAGCGAGCCAGCGAGCGGCGAGCCGGGGACCCCCCGCGCGGAGCCAGCCAAGGAGCCAGCGAGCCGCGCCCGCGACGACCTCCGCCCCCCGAGTCCCGCAGCCGCCCCCCGCCGGCCGGTGTCCCCGCCGTCCTCCCTGACCCATGGCGCTGAAGCGGATTCAGAAAGTGAGTGCCGGGGACAGGCCCGGGGCAGCTGGGCGGGCGGCGGCCCCTTCGCTCGCGGGCGCGGGCGGTGGTCTCCAGCGACGCACCGGGAGGGCGCGGGATGGGCGAGTGGGCAGGGGCGGGACCCGCGGCGGGAGACGCGGGCCGGGCCAGCGGGCGCCGGGCAGGTGAGGCGGGAGCAGGGGCAGGGGCAGGGGCAGGGGCAGGGGCAGGGGCAGGTCCCGGTCCCGGTGCCGGAGGTGCTCGGGGGCAGGGGACCCGCTGTGCTCGCGCCGGACCTGCGCTCCCAGCCCCCGCGGGGAGGCAGATGCCCCTTCGCCTCCAGATCTGCCCGGAATCTGTGCTTCGCGGTCACCGCTGGGCTTCTGCCCGACACGGGGCTCGTTTCGGCCCCTGTCACACCGTGTCTTCTCGCTGTTTCTTATTAAGCCCGTTCCCCTTCTGCTCTTGCTTCCCCGGGCTCCCGGGGAGGGCAGGGGAGGTGTGTGGTGGGCCTGCAGCCTGTTCCCTCGGAGCTGTTGGGTTTGTTCTCTCTCTCCTTTGCGGTTGGCTCTTGCTCGGATACCAGAATGGGCTGGAAAAGCCCGTTTGGGGCCGAGAAGCCAGGAGAAGCCTGCTGCTCCTTCTATTTTGGTGCCTCTCCTGCTGCCACTTTAGGTCACATAGCTGTAGTGAAAACATAGTTGCTGGTACACAACAAGATGACCTCCTGGCTGTGATTCATGGCGAGGCAAGCCAAACAGGTTTCCTACCCCCCCTCATGATAAAACTTATATATAAAGTTCAAGACACAACAGAAACGGGCACAAATTAGATTGCTTGATGCTTTGACACATGGGCACAGAATGAGGAAGAAATGTATGTATTCATTCAAGAAATATTTATCCATTCCAGCTCTGTGTGAGGGATTGTCCTCTCGCACAGTATGTATTGCTGCTGTTTCCAATGTGAACATCTTACAAAAGTGGGGTCGGAGCATTTTCTTTCTCTTCAGTTTTATTTCTTGTTATCGGTCTGTTCCCTTAACACAAGTTTTAGGTTTTACAGTTCATAGTTCCTGTTCCTGTGGAGAACGTTGAGAATTTTTTTTTTTTTTAAATTGCGTTCAGCGAATTAAGCCAACAGTGGACAGCATGCTTTGTCAGTGGTTTCAGAAGAAATTGATGCCCACCAAAACATTTTATCAACTTTTTCTGGCATGAATCAATAGCGCAGTGAACAGAGATGTATACGTTCTATTTTCAGTCACCACTGGTGGCATCTTCTAGTACAGAGGACAGCAACTTTTAGACCTAGTCAGTTTTTGTTGTTGTTCAAACCTGTGGATCAGTGTTATTTTTTTGTGCCATTTAAAGGTCCTCTTACTATAAAACATAGCTAATAATCAGCATTTATTGATGAATATGTTATCTGGTTTGGAGATGATGCAGTTACACATTTTTCCCCCCATATAATTAACCGTAATTTCGAAGCCCCAGCCGGAATTTTTGCCAGGCCTTCTATACTTATTAATGATTATGTCATATCGGCTGACACTTAACACACATTTTCCCCAAAAAGTTGTAAAATTCCATTTCCTTTTTTTCCTAGATATGAGAATTTTTCATAAAGACTTTGCACATACAATAGCTTTTAAATAGTATAGATTTTGTCCACAGTAAGTAGACCTTCAAAGAAAAAGGACGCTATTTGTAAATACCATACAGGCTCATTGTTAATCATGCTGAGCCGGTGGATTTGACTTGTATTTATAATATGTCATATGCCCAAACCGTATTTTTATAGCTATTGGTTATTATTAGTGACTGATTTTAAAAATCACTTAGAATTGATGTCAGTCCTGCAAAAATTGATATTTGGAAGAAGAAATTGGGGACCATATAACATCACATCTCTATGTGTTGTATTTTGGCATTCCTTTTCTGTTATCAGAAAACTTGCCTTACACAAACCGCCTTTCCTTTAATCTCATGTTCCAACCATTTCCTCAAACTTGAGGGGGCATTATTCTGTTTGATACCCTACTTTTCCTCTCCCTTTACCCCCCTCCTTGATTCGAAGCCAATTCCAGGGCAGGTGTGTTGTTTGCCATTTGCACAGTGATGAAGCCCTCCTTGATATCATCAGCATACAGATTCTTGTTTGAACCTTGCATGTCCCCACAAAAGAAGATACATGTTAACATTTAGCGCTTCTTTATAAGCGTTTTAAAGTAACACTGTCAGATACATTCCAGGTCATGGCATGATTTTTCTGTACATAAAGTGGCAGACATTGGAGCTGTGCATAACCTTGGACAACTCTGCAGGGGTGGGTGGAGTGGAAAGGAAGGGAGTGGAATGGAGGGCGGGGCAAGGGGCACAGCTTCTAGGGTGGTGTATATGATCACTTTTGGGACATTTTCAGGCTGTCCCCACTGCAGCAAATGGAGAGAAGTTGCATCCCTCAGATGGGTTGGGGTGAAAGAACGTTGAGAACCGGAGATGTGCTAGTCTACGTACATTATTCAAAGGCCTGGAGCGGAGGAGTACTTTGTCTAAGTTAATCTCTTAAGGAGTGATTTGACTATTTGAGAATGTTAAAATGTTTATGACTTCATAGCTCTTCACAAGCAAATATTAAATATGCTTGAATTAAAATTGTATATCCAGTATCTACAAAGCATGTGTGTATCAATGCTTAAAGTACATTTTTATACTAGAGTATATGCTAAATGATTTAACGCTCTAATTTGGACATCTAGTGCCAGTTTCGCATGTCAGCTTATAAATTTACACATCCATGCCCTATTTTTAGATCCAGTGGAACATGTTATCACAGTCACCTAAATCCCTAAAGGGAAAAAGTTTAAACAAAGTCTGAGGAAAGATACCTAAAACAAGTCTGAAAAAAAGAGGCAGTTTCAGCTGGCCATCAATTATTTTCTAGAATTAATTTCTAAGTGTTTGTTCTATAAATGCTGTTTTTAAATCTTGATAAACTCTTTTGGAAATCATTTTAAAAATCATTTTACATCACAATACTTAATGTTTTGAAAACCAGAAAGGAAAAAAAAAGGAAATCATAGTACAGACATTGTCATTGTCCTAGCATATAATTGACCCTTGAACAACATGTGTTTGAACTGTGTAGGTCCACTTATATGCGGGATTTTCTTTTTCTTTTTCAATAAATACTGTAATGTTTTTGATCCACCGTTAGGGGTTCATGGATGTGCAGGGCTGACTGTATGCCATTTTATATAGGGGACGTGAGCATCAGTGGATTTTGGTATTGTGGGGGGTTCCGGAATCAATCCCCCGCGGATATTGAGGGACAACGTAAGTTTTGGGAAAGTCAGAACTCATGTGTGTATTTGATTTTCAAATGCCCAGGGTTTGGTGCTCCTAACCCTTGCATTGTTCAAGGGTTAATTGTATTTCCTTCTAGATTATTTTTTATTTGCTAAAGAAGTTGAATTAATGTCCATGATATGATATGATAGACTGTTGCCTTTTTGGTCTATCTTTTGAAAAGTGAAGCAAAAGTTTTGTTCTGCAAATAGAGCAACATATAACTATTCCTTAATGTACAGTTCTGTCCCTAAAATGAAATATTTGTTTTTTAAAATAATAAATTTGACTTAAAATATTCATAAACATAGATTATAACACAACTTTATAAATTTTTTGAGCTGCTGAATTGTTTTGATTAGTATAATTCCACATTAAACTGTTAATATCAGTGTAGAAAAACCTTAGGATACCTAAAAACAACAACAAACCCAGCGCTCTCTGGATGGAGCTTCAAATAGGAGAAGATCTGGTTTCTATTCCTGGCTCTGTGTGTGACTTTACTGGCTTGTTTCCTTGTTCATACAGTGATGCTGCTGATAAGTACAATTACATTGTATGATACATAATCTTTACTCTGTGCTAGACACTGTTTTAAGTGCTTGACATATATTAATTGGTTTAATCCTTAGTGGGTCCAAGAGGTAGAAATGATTATTACCCCCATTTTATAGATGATGACACTGAGATGTTGAGTCATGTACTCAGAATCACAGCAACACTAGGTTTCCAAACCAGGCAATTGGCTCTATCGTCCACGTTCTTAAACATTTCAGTACATAACTTCTCTTACTCAGATGGACTTATATCTCTTGTACTTAAATTGAAGGACATGCAGTCAAATGAGTTTATGGATGTAAGTGCTTTGCAGACTGTTCTATTCAGATGTAAAGCGGTATTATAATTAAGACCTTGGCATATTTAATCATTCTCTCTGGCTCATCACTCAGTATGTTGATTATACATTGTAAATCTCTGTTCTGAAGTAATGTACACTGGGTCTTTTCACATGGTGAATAAATAATATAACTTGGTTCACTTTGTTCCATCACTTAAAATTTTTCTCCTCCAAAAGGATTTAGAAAAGATGTTCTGTCAAAAGCATCATTTTCTGTGGGGTTTTCATGTGAGGAAACTGTTTATGAATTTATATAGCTGTTTAGTTCCTATGGTGGCTTTGAGTAGTAGTCAACTGTTTAGATTGCACATGTATGTTAGAAAGACTTTCAGATTACAAGGTTAAATCTAAGACTCTAGGGTCTTCCAATAAAGAAGGATATAATTTCAAAAAATATTTTTTAAAGGAGTAACATACTATTTATGCTTCTTGGTAGATAAAAAAAAAAAGGAGGGGGAGGAAGTGTTCTTTTTTTAGAAAGCCACCATGTGACTTTTTCTGCATTTAAATCTTTGCAATTAAACTCCGTCTTTCGTCCCCCTTCCCCTGTACCGCGTACTTTTCTTTAACATAAAAAAGGTGTAAAAGGACGAGATAGCCTATTAATAGTTAAGAAGTTCTGAGGTTCCTTCTCTGTGGAAATAAATAGCATAGATCTAAGTAAGGTTGTTTTATGCTTGCTTTAGGAAGCCAAGCACATATTAGAAAAACCAAGGTTAGCAGGATGTGGAATTGCCTTCAGAAGAGCAGAGTAGCATCCTTACTCACTT